TGGCAACTAAGAGATAGCAGTGCTTGCTGCCTGTCTGACTCTCAGTGATTTTCTTGCAAAAAAAAAAAAAACCCAATGCTGGAAGCAAATACAAAATCCCAATAACAAAACCTCTGCACTGAGGTTTCTTCCTTTTTTTTTTTTTTCCTCCTTATACATGTTGAAATAACCTGATGGGATATTTTGAAAAGACAGGAGATACGTGTTTTGTTTAGATCTTCTAGTGTATTTGTCTTCTTAGAGATGTTAAAATATTTATTAGTTTTGAAATGCAATGAATCAAGGTCGTGTTGAAACGTTAAGCAGTTCATTCTCTCTGTGGATGTGTGCGCCTCTTCAGTGGAGCGCTTTCCCGGCATGTCCTGTGTGAACAGTCCGAGGCTGGAGGGCCGCATGGCCAAGCATCCTTGCAGGAAAGCAAAGCCTCATCAGCCGCTGCACCCCTGTCGCTTTGCAGCAGGCAGATCATGCCCTGTGTTGGAAGACGAATGCAGAGCCCTGCGTGTGCTCTTTTGTTTTCCTCTTAGTCCCACGTCTGGCAGCCTCCAAGACTGGATCCCAAGGCAGTGGTGCTTGACAGCTTACAGTGCAGATTCGGCTCACAGAAATCCAGAACCTTGCAAAGCTACAGCTGTGCCGGCCAGAATGTAAAGATTCCAACTGCAGCCCAGCTGCCAGCTCGAGTTTTCTGCCTTGACAGCTGCCTGTTGCATGCCATTTGCCTGCTCAGGCTCCACTCCAGTGCCTTCTGCCCGCCTGAGCCTCCTCCTCGCTCCAGATCTATCCCAGTGTTGTTTTGCTCCTCCCTGCAGACAACCCAAGGATTCTGAGCATGTTGTTTGGGCAGCTCTCCCGGTCCTTCCGGGGGAGGCCAGCTCTCCCCACGGGAGAGCCTTGGCTCTGTAACTCATTTTCTGTGCTTCAGTCGGACTGACTTGGCATCAGTAGGCTGACTGCTCTGGTATCCTAACTGATCCCACAACCTGAGTGGCTCGGGGCTGGGGAGATGGCTCGAGACAGCAGAAACTTCTCTGGAAAGTTGGGGGCCCTGAACTCTGGAGTCAAGGCTGCACAGGGTGGTGCTCCTTCCAAAGACTCTCGAGAGGCACCGTCTTTGTCTCTCCCGGCTCCAGTTGCTGGTGGCTGCCGGATATCTTGGCGTTCCAGGCCTTCAGTGGTCATTCCAGATTCTGCCTCTGTCTTCGTCTTGCCGTCTCTCCCACTGTGTCTCTCTGTGTCCTCTTCTCTTTCAAAAAAGACACCACTCCCTAGGTTGGGGCCATCCTGCATACAGGAAGATTTCACCTTAACATCCTTGATTAACCTTATTTCCAAATAAAGTCACATTGTGAGGATCCTAAATAAAGTCACATTGTGAGGATCCAGGTAGACATAACTTGGGGAGATGGGACAGGACACTATTCAACCCGCTACTGGCCTGTAGGGACATTTATTTCCTTCATATACACACAAACACAACCTTGAACATACTTGGGACCATTGTTTTTAGAGTTAGTGCATTTTTATATGTAGTATTTAATCACTTAACATTCTCTAAGGTTTTCTGGGCTCTGCTGTCCATTTCATTTATAGCAACTACATGCTGTGCCACACCAGCAGCAGTGAGGCCTGGTGGTTAGGTGTGGGCTCAAAAGTTAGCCTGCCAGGGTTGGCATCGCACTGGGCCTTGCCCACAATTATGGGCTGAGTTTTACCCCATCCACTCCCTAGCTTATATGTTGAAGTCCTAAACCCCAGCACTTAAGAATATGACCATGGGGGCCAGGGATGTAGCCCAGCAGTACAGCGTCTGCCCAGCAGGTGCAGGATCCTGGGTTCGATCCCGGCGCGTGTACACACACACACACACACACACACACACACACACACACAGAAGGAATATGACTGTATTTGGAGCTATGTTCTTAAAGTTAAGTGAGATAACCAATTGGGATGGGCCCTAATCTAGTTTGGTGTCTTTATAAGAAAAAGAGATTAAGGTTGAGCATAGTGGTACATGCCTGTAATCCCAAAACTCAGGAAGAGGAAGCTGAGGCAAAAAGATCGCTGTGAGTTTGGGGCCAACCTAGGCTACACAGTGAGACCCCATCTCACAAGAAAAAAAGAGATTAAGGCACAGACCTGCGGGGGGGGTGGGTCACCACAGGAGGACCCAGAGGACAGATAGCCATTGATAAGCCGGGGGAAAGGGTTCAGAAGAAATCAACTCGCTGTCACCTTAATCTTGACCACTAGCCACCAAACAGTGAGGGAATATGTGTCTGTGGGACTCGTTATGGTGGCTAGAGTGGAGCAGGGCATACCACCAAGCAGCGCTCTGAGCCCCAGGACCCCACTTGCCCCTCTGTAAAGTCAGGGTCCTTGAGGGCATCCTAGGGTCACACAAGGGGATGCTGTGATTGTGGCTGGCGCGTGGTTATGACATGCAGCTTCTCGCTAGTTTCTGGTCACTCACAGGGAAGCATTTATTTGACCTCTGATGGCCATTTGCCCGAAGGGAAGCCAGGGCGTTGTCGGTAGCTGGATACATTGCTTTGGAGAGTGTCTCAGGAGCACCCTGCTCTGTAGGGGGATTTTCTGCTGTGCCTGCCCTCCAGCCTGTCCCCGGGAGGCCCTTAGCAGGTGGCAGTGGGCAGCTGGTCTCTGGACCCTGTGTAGAGCTGTCAAGCTGTCCATAGCCTAGAAGCTGAGGCTGTTGGGAACCACATTCTCTCCTTTTCCAAGCCCTCTGGCCCTGGTGGCCACAGCTGCCTCTGGTGACACTCTAGTGCCCAGGTGGTGAGGTTGGAGGCCCCAGCTTGGACTTCTGGGCTCCCAAGATATTTCACACCTTCCCTGGCAGGGAGTAGCCCTTGTTAAATAGTTTGTAGCCTCCTCCCATTGGGCTGGCTCTGATGAGGTGGGGAGCTGCAGCCTCTTGGGAGCTCCTGGCAACTCTGTATGGCCCGAGCACCACTCAGCCTAAGCAGCCCCCTCCCGCCCTGCCTCCCTCCTGCGGCCCTGGGTGCCTCCAGCATAGTCCTCCTCTCCTTTGAAGTCGGAGCTTCAGAGCCACTGCAGGCAAACAGGATGTTCCTCTCCCACAGAGACTGCAGATGAGGTGCCAGATGCGGGTCGCTCCGCATCCTGCTCTGGGTGGTGGGTCCCCTTGGCTGTGGACCTCGGGGTGGGGGTGGAGGCCCAGGCTGCGTGCCAGGTGCGGCCTTGGGAAGCTAGTTCCATGTGTCACACTTTGAATGCCTGTTCTGGACTGAACTAAGCAGGCATTTAAAAGTTTGCTCCAGGAGCCCCTGTGCCTGGAAGGGCTGAGTGATGCAGGTGCCGAGGATGGTGATGCCTGCTTACGCATTCGTGGGTGGGTGGCTGGGAGAGGACAGTGGCACCCCTGATCACCAGCCTCATTCCTGGCATGGCCGTTGTGTTTTTCTTTAAATATGTCATTTCTCCAAAACTCAGCACATTATAGTCGCATGTAGGGTTACAAGATTGCTGCAGAATATATAACTGCTCGAGAGAGCTTGGGAAAGTCTGGAAGGGCACCAGGGGACAGGCAGGCACGAATAACCCAGACATCCTAAAGCTGTCCAGTGTCAGGGCTCTGCTTAGAGCAGAATGGCTTAGGGTATGATTCTCTTGAGGTTGCAGCTGTCTTGGGAAAATGAAGGTGTAAAGGACAAGAGTTCTAGTTCTTTCCTGAGGCTCTTCCTACCCCCAAGCAGATGTTCTGAGGCCTTAGAATCCATCCGATGTTTAATTTACAAAATTGTGATTGTGTGTGTGTGTGTGTGTGTGTGTGTGTGTGTGTGTGTGCACGCATGTGCTGGATGAGGATGGGTTTAAAAGATGTCAGGATTTTACCACCCACTTGACAATCCTGCCTGGCAGTAGGCGGCATTCTGTCCACCTCTGGAAAGTTCCACTTGGCTGAGCATGTGTTGGTGCTGTGAGGGAAGGCACCTGGGTTCTGGAGTGGCTCTTTAACCGTCAGAATGTCCTGCAAGCCAGAGAGTCGGAGAGAGGGATGGAAGGTGAGGAATTTCTCAAAACGAGATTATTTCCCCTGATAGCAGGGAAATGCATTCCTTTTTGCTTTGCATTTTCCCTATTTGTGCTGTGGGATGAACAAGGGAAGAGGCTGGTGGCACAGGACGGTGCAATGCTGGGGTTGGGACCAGGGCTCACAAGGAGTGAAGTCAGAGGAGACTGTGTGTGGGAGCAGCCCTGGGAGCACCTGCCCTGCCCCAGGTGGCTTTCCTGAGGACTTAGGCCTGGCCAGGGCCTCCTCAACACCAGTACAACGTCAAACCCTTTCTCCTGAGAGACACCCCTCCGCTATCTGGTTGAGCAGAGCCTTCATTCTGCTGCCAGCTGATGTTTTCTCTAATCAAGATGTGCTGAGGCAGCCTCTCCTTGCTGAGACCGCCGCGTTCCCCCCGACTCCCTCCATTCAATAGCTGCTTTTGCTTCTTGCATGATAACCAGTTCATTTGAGATTTTGAATGCCAGACTTACTGGGAGTCTTAACAATACTGGGATCATCTGATGACAAAAAGTGACCTTTTATCCCCCTGCCTGTAACGGTAAAGGGTTTGTGTTTTGCTACTTGCAGCTCTTAGAGAACCACATCCCTGCACAATCTATCTGGGTGCTACAGGGATTTTAAAGGAGCTCTTGATACAGGGCTATGAGTCAGTGCTGTCATGCAGCTATACTTCTGTGGAAAATAAAGATGTGTCTGTTGCGTGATAGTCTAAGCTATATATTCCATTGGGATCGTTATGTAGTGATGAAATCATTCAGGAAATCCACCTTGTCTAGAGCATGCTTTACTTTAGCTTTGTGTGTGTGTGTGTGTGTGTGTGTGTGTGTTACATTATTTGTATCCTTTAGCACATGGCAGGTATTTAATAAATACTTGATAGGATGATTCATGATCTGAACTAGCTGAAGCCTTCAGATTCTTTTTCTTTCCTCCCTAGATCTTCAATCTCATGAAGTACGACAGCTACAGCCGCTTCTTAAAGTCTGACTTGTTTTTAAAACACAAGCGAACTGAGGAGGAGGAGGAGGAGGATCAGCCTGATGCTCAAACTTCAGCTAAACGAGCCTCCAGAATTTATAACACATGATCGCCTAAAGGCCAGGACTGCCGCCTTCGCAGAGGGACTTATTCTCAGGACTGTGCGGGATTGCCACTGCTTTGTAATGTGCGAAGATGGAAATGTACAAAACCCCCTAGTGGGATCTGTGTATTTTATTAACCGCTTGGCCAGTAAGTTTTGCATGATGACTAATCTAACATAAAAAAAACATAGCTTTGAAATTTCAGTTCACAAAACAGAGATTCCCTTAACACTGGACACTGGGAGCGTTTGACAGCTTGATCAGACTTTATGTTAGGCCACGAGGTGACACATACAGCCACATATTCCCTTCCACATCTTGGCTCTGGCTCTCTGGTGGGGGTGGGGGGGGTGTGTGTCCCCAAATTCCTTTGGCAAATTAACTCAAGCATGAGTTGATCTGAGAAGCTCAGGCTGCAGGAGGCTGTTGTTCGACCTCCGCCTTTTGGTTTAATTACTTACCAAGAGCAAGTTTAGTGCTGGAAAAAGAAAATGAATCGCTGACAACTCCTAAAGATGTGGGGTGCTGAAGTGTGAGGATCATTCACCAGTTGTTATTGCTTGTGTGTGTGTGTTGGTCCTAGTTTTTCCCAAATCTGGGACGTGTAATGCAGTACAGAAACAAGACCTCAGCTCAAAAGCAGAGAAGACAATGGGGCATTGTTCAGGGTGCCCGTGGCAGCTCCAGGTGGTAGGAGATGGGGCTGCAGCGCATGGTGTATGCTGAAGATGGAGTTGGTGGGGGTGTTTCCTGTATCTCACCCATCTGAGGGGCACCTTTTCTCCTCGCTCCCGGAGAGGCTGCCAGTGGCACGTGCTTGCCCAGTGGTCCCAACCAGACCAGGTATCTCCTCTTTTAAATAGAGCCCACGAGGGCCCACGTCAGGCTCAGCTCCTTTCAGCTGCCGTCCCCGCTCTCCATAGATCTGGATGCTGCCGCCAACCTTCTGAGCACATGTGCCAAACCTTAGGCTGTGATTTGTACAAACAGAGCAACAAGCATCTGTCTGTCACTTAGAAGGCTCCAGACCCAGGCTTCCCCATTCATAACACTCCTTGATGTTGAAGTGATTCTTTAATTTATCATTCAAACCAGGACACTTTCAAGAGCAAAGGGGAAGGTCGGGCATGGTGGCTCATGCCTGTAATTGCAGCACTCAGGAGGCTGAGGCAGGAGGATTGCTGTGAGTTTGAGGCTATCCTAGTCTACATTGTGAGACCCTGTATCAAAAACAGAAGGGGAGGGGGAGTGAGAGAAACACACAGAGTTCTAATAATGATATTGGAATGGTGTTTATTATAAATCATTAACTGGTTCTGCTTTGGCTAAGCCAGTTTCCGTAGTCCTGTGAGACCTCTTGGGAGTCTCCCATATTCCCTAGCCCGATTGCCTGTTTGTTGTGGTCCAGTGCTTCATCTCGGGCCTGGAGAAGGGATGGTCTTGGGTGGGCCATTGGCTGCTGCAAACCTGGTAGCCAAGAAAGCAGCCATCAGGAACGGCAAGCACGGCATTCTCTGCTCCCCTCAGGCGCTTCCCAGCCAGGCCTTCTGCATCTGTCTTCTTCACGCAAATCCCTGGGACCAGTGATGTTGAGAAGGACACCCCAGGGTGCTGTCGGCAGAGAAATACAGTCCTTGCCCACCAGAGCAGATGGCTTTCACTTGATCGGGTGGAAGCGAGCAGGGGTGGCTGTGGGGATCTGTGGGCAAGGGGTCAGCTCCATTTGGAGAGCCTGACCTGGGCAGAGGCTGGGGGAGCTGGAGGCTTCCTCTGACCTTTGCCCTTTCACTGCTGGGTTCAGAGACCTTTTTAGATAACTATCTATAAGGCCCCAGATGAAGGAACTAGAGTTAAAAGTGTATAACAGAAGATGACAGCCCTGCCCCGCAGGCTCTTTCTGACCACCTGCTTCCGCCCCACCTGCAGTGCTGAGACAGATACGCAATTCAGTGCTGTGAAGCAGCTGCAAAAGTGAGACTGAAGTGTAGCGGATTGTGCAGCCCAATAAATGCTCCTGTCCAGTCCTTCACTTACATCTATATGTCTGTCTCTCCATCTGTTCACTTCTGCACCCATCTGCCTACTAATTAGTATATAAATTCTGTCTGCAGTGTGCTAGGAGTTGTGTGAAGTGCTAGGATTCAGTGTGTCCCTTGCATGCATGTGTGTGTGTAAAACAGCCATGATGATTCATGCTTGTGTAATTCATAGGTGCCTTAAAACTATAGGTTTTATTCTTACTCAAGTCTAACGAGGCCAGCAGGTTGGGGATAATTCCTCTGCACAGAGTTTGCTGCTTATAGTTGCTAAGAAAAAGTGGTACACCATGCTATGTGAGGCCACATGGGGACACACAGGAGGCTGAACAAGGGGGAGAGGTGGGTAGCAACCTTTGTTGTGATTTCCTTGGGAAAGGCAAGTGATGTCAGCAGGCTGAGGAATAGTTTGCAAGATTTTGCTGGACTCGAATATAAAGCCTGTCCTCAGTGGTACATGACCTGGGCCAAAGGTGGTGAGGGCAGACATAATGGCACAGAGAGTAATAGTTTGGTAAAGGAGGTATGCAAAGCTTGGATGCTCTGCTCTGCATGTGACAGGCATGCTGCAGGTATTTGCCATCTAGGAGTGAGCCCAGGGTCAGCAAGGCTGTGGATGTCCAGGCGGCAGAGTAACAAGGCACACGCATACAATGCTAGGCAAGTGCTCCACGCCAGAGCCACACCAACAGCCCTAGCGCCAGAATTTTAAATCTTGCAAGGCAAATGCCTTAAACAGAGTGCCATCTCTTTGGCCTGTCTGACTTCCAATCACAACTACTGTCCCCATCAGCCTGAAGTAGCCAGAATGGTCATCACCCCTCGCCCCTCATGGCAGGCTGGGAGACTGCTTGGTGGGGGATTACAGACAGCTGAGTTAGGTAGAAATACGTTAGGTGACCAGGTAGAGCTGAGCCCTCTAGAGAGTCCAGACAAAAGGTGAAAACACAACTGTGGCTTGAGATGCATCAGTTGGAAGCCAGACCTCAATAGAACAGAAGGACCAGGCCTGCCTACTCCCTAAGGGATAAGTGATGACAGCTGGGCTAATGCAGTCTAGCTGGGTATTGATCACCTCAGTGGGCAACCAAGCCCCCCAGATCCATCACCTACCTGAAAAGTTCTTTGTTCTTCCCATGCCCACTTGCTGAGACTTGCTTTCCCACTGGATCAACGTTACCGAGGCAGCTACACTTACACTCTTATTGGTGGAACACAAGCTGTAACCCACATTGTACCCACATGATTGAGCTCCATCAAACTTCCCTGAAAAGTAGGGTCCTTGGACAACCTACTCTCTGGGTTTCCCTTCCTGCCCTCCCTCAATAAATATTTCCTACTCTTAATCTCCATTGTTCCTAGAATTCATTCTTCAATTTTAGAGAACACGAACTTGGTGACTCGGACATCTGACAAGTGGTGAGTTGTGTCATATTTGGGGGCTCTGACATCATCCCTGGTTGGCCGCAGGCCTTCTCTGCCCTCTCACATCACAGCAGGCCACCCCCATGTTGATGTTACTGGATAGCTGGTAGTTTGCACCCTGATCTGCACTTGCCCTCTGCAGAGAGCACAGCTGGGTGGCGTGCTCCTCCACTGCAGTCACTCACTGTCCCAATCTGCTCGGCTTCCTGCGACTAAGCTGTGGCCTGTTTCCTCCCCCACGGTCCTGCACTATCGGGCCTTCCTCTTGGCAGAGTTTCCCTCTGAAGTGTGAAGGGAATCACTCACACTGGCAGAACACGTTTCCAGGAGGTTGAAATTAAAATCTCTGTCACAGAGTGCTCGCTCTCATTTTTTTTTTTTGAAAGAAATGACTTTCAAAAGTCTTTCCCCTTGTCTCATACACAAAGACATTTCAGATGAGTACCCCCAAGTGAATGGTGTATTTAAGCACATCTTGTGTGTGCAGGGTAAGGCTGCAGTCCAGTCTGTCTCTGGGGTCAGTTCCCTTTTTGGTCTTTCTGCTTCCTGGATGAACCCTGGGAAGCCCGGGGTGAGATGGATACTGGGCTTGGGGCATGCTCTTCTAGTCACGTGAGGGATAGTCCATGAACACCTATGATGTCACAAGCCAATGTGAATGTAAGCATGTTAATGAAGAAAAGGGTGAGGTAGTAACCTGTCCTTTAGGGAGCCAAAACGTCAGATAATGACACAAGTTCCTCCCTAAAATCTCCTATATGAAAGAAAATGACTATCTCCTGGGAGGTGGGCTCACGGCACATGACCTCTTACACTTCCAAAATGGATTGCTCTGCCTTGTCCTAAATCTCATGATGTAAGCTCCATGTTGACATAATGTGAAGTCATTTCTCTCAAAAAAAAATGTGAGAGAGCGAGCTCTCTGTGACAGAAATTCGAATTTCAACTTCAGGTGCCCTCAGACACACAAGAGAAGGCCAGTCTGCTGAGTTCCTCTCTGGCTGCTAGCAAGGACCCCTATCTTCTCATGTGTTGCAGAGTCCAGGGCTGATTAATTGGTACCCAGCTCCCAGGCCCCAGCTCTGAAACTGGGAGGACACTTTGTTTACAAAGTTTGAAAACTAGGCAAGCGCAGTCATGTCTCATGTTCTGTCACTATTTACTTTCATTTTGGCTGTGGATATTTTAGAACTTGCATCAATTTAAGTTCTAGATGGTCTTGTATCATTAGTTTTGGGGGATTTTTAAACTGCTTTGCTTTACAAGGTTAGTTGGGTGCGATTCAGCGAGTGTTGTAAAAGGCCCGTGGCTGGAACAAGGAAGGAAGAAGCCTCCCTGTGGAAATGGTCCCAAGCCTTGGGCAGAGCCCAGCGCTCTCCTGGGACTCTCACAGCGACCATGAGCATTTCAAGTCCAAAAATCACCTAAGCAGAAGGCTAAGAGTCTACTTCCTGGGGCCTCCAAGGGAAGGTCTTTCACGGGGTGTCTGTGAGGGCTGCTTGGCCAGAGGGCTGGTCCTGGTGGTGCATTCATCTAAAGTGTAGTCGGGGCTTACCAGGGAAAAGATTTAATACAGGATACATAACACTTTTAGGGTTATTTTTATAATATTCACCCAAACGGTCAAATGCAGAAGAGTGCAGGAGGTCTTTCCACACATTAGAGGTCCAAAGAATCCGGCTAAGGGCCTGCATCCCAGGGCAGTGTCCTGTATGAACCCAGCTG